CTCTGATTTTCAACAGGTTTCTACCTCCAGCCCTTCCAAGATCGAACAGGATTCTCTTGGTCTCAACCTTCAACTCAGTTTTCCACCTGTTTACCTTCTGGAAAACTCCTTCACTTCGAACTCTCTTCATTTTGTTTCGTCATACTGTTTGTTGTATTCTCTGCATTTCTTCTTCTTCCTAATCTCTGGTGGTCATTAACAAGGAAGAAAAACGTATAGATGAAAGTGAGGTTGTCTCTACATCAGCCCCAATGCATGCATTTGAATTGTTTGTGGGACAAATAGATGTTGAGCATTTTTGGAAGAAATCTGTTGAACTGAAAGAAAAGAGTCCAGTGCAACATTCTAGCCTGCGATGCTTGCAGGCTCGTTGGTGTTGCTGGCTCATTGGTGTTGGAGCCGTTGCTGGTTCATTAGTGGTATCGCTAAAAGGAGGGAGGAGGGAGGGGGGAATAGAGTATATGGAGCCGTTGCTGGCTCATTGGTGTTGCAGAACCCACACCTTTGTTAGGGCGTGTGGGGAATTTGGGATATCTGATGAGTATGCATCCTCTATTGGCCCTATGCGTAAATGGAGACTATACCCCAACACAAACGGTAAACGTTGAGTGTTTGCAGGAAGAGATTAGCCCTCTCTTTGACAAGAAGAAAAGGGACACTATTGTTTTTAGGAACTCACTAGCGAACACTATTGCTGGGGGTAAGTACCATTCGCAAAGTGGTTAAAATTTTGGTTTGATAGGAGTGAAGGGCCATTAGGGATGGAAGGAGTCATAAGCATCTCATCACATTTGTACTGTACTTTTATTGCATATTTTTGGGTAGTTTGGAAAGTCTATCGCATGTGGTGATTTTGGCAAGCATTGTGTAGAAACTGCCTTTTCTTAGCATGTTTCTAGGCTACCTGTATGATTAGATGGATGACAGTCTATTAATTAATGAACTATCTGTACACTATTTCTCTTCATGTATGTATGTGAAAGGTCCAAGGTAATTATCATAGTTGTCAAGGTGACGCCTAGACGACTAGGTGATTTTTAGAAGTCGCCTTGCTCAACRCCAAGTGTTTTTTGTATTAGGTGCTCACACATGTACACATTATATTTTTGAACACCTCTATATATATTGTATCATTTTATTTTATCAGAATGCATCTTGTTGTATGTTACAACTTTTTTTTATAAAGATAAAATCTTTTTTTACTAAAGCTACGAAAGCTTTTTTAGGTTTGCATTCTAAACCGAGATTGAGTAGAGAAACCAAGGACTCGGTCCAAGTCATCCAAGACCTCTCGGTAAGTTTCTTCTTCTTCTTAAACTTCAGTTGTTCTGTGGTCCTTTTTTTTTCCTATTTTTTGGGGATGAAATAGGGGCTCCGCCTCTTCAACCTCCTCCTCATCCCTCCTTCCTCAAATCACCTTGGTACTCCAGTATTTTATTTTCTATTTTTTTTTTTAAATACTTTTGGAAACGAAACAGGGGCTCCACCCCCTTCTTCTTTAACAGGGGCTGCGCCCCAACTTTCTAAAACTTTCCTATATTTTTTGCACTATTTTTTAATAATGCATTTTTTTGGACGAAATAGGGTCTCTATCCCTTTATTTTTCTCTCCTTTTTCGCAGCATTCTCCCTTTTTGTTAGCTTGAAGTAGGGCTTCTGAMACCTTAAACACAGTCCACATCTCTTATTCCTATTTCTCTTTTTTGTTCCATGTCCTCTAACTCCTATGTTTTTTTCTTTTTTTCTTTTTTAAAAAATATTTTTTTGGGTACAAATAGGGGCTTCGCCCTCTTATTTTTCTTGCTTTTTTTTGCTACATTCCTCCTTTTTTGTTGGCCTGAACAAGTATGATGTATATATGATGGAATTTTATGTTTTATTTGAATGAATTTATTGCTAATAACCAATATAATTGTATGTTGGTTAGTATAAAAACTAATACAGTAGCCTAAGAAGGGTAGGGATCTTTATTTTATATTTTCAAATTCCATCGCCTAGGTGCCTTGACAACTATGGTACTTATTACACCACATTATTTAGAACCCTTTATACTAACCCTTTTCAAATCAAAAGAAGGTGAGAAACAAAAAAGTCAGCTGCCTTGTCATGGTAAACAGTGGATGAGCTGTAAAGTTACTTTGTAATTCAACAAGGCTGCCATCGAGAGTTGTATTATTGGGATAGGGTCCTTTGGGAATCGACCCTACGCAGTGATTTAAAAGGCACGCTTGAGGCATGCCTAGGCGCATAGGTGAGGCACATTTTAGGGTAGGCACCTCGCCTAGGTTCTAGGCGCAACAGTTTGCCTTGCGCCTTTGCCCAGGCATGCGCTTATTTGGTAATGTTGTTCGTTCATTCATCCTACTAAAATATCTTCTTAAAAAGCAATTAAAATTATAAAATCATTATTTTTTTTTTGTGTGAGAACTAAGAATATAGGACCCTAACATGGATTTATTTGGGCTTGCCTCGAGGGGCGTGGCACAATGGCGACTTGTAGAATTTGGAATGTAATATGTTTTACATCACATTAGCTACTTGAAGTAATGTAATTGAAGAAAAAAAGAGATTGTGGGCTTTACATGCTTGAAAATGTTTTATATGTTTGATTTTATTTTTAAATTTTCATTTGAATATGCTTTACATGTTATGTTTATGTATTTTAATTTTAGATAATAGGTTTTTTAAAACCATTAATTTTAAAAATTAAGTTTATATTTCTTATTAATATCATGTTTAATATTTTTGATCTTTTTGCATTTTTTTGAACTTTTTTGTTTTTTTAGATTTTTTTTTTTCGTATTTTTGCGCCTTGCTCCGAGAACCCCCTATTTGCTAATGTTGTTCATTCATTCATTGTAATAAAATATCTTCTTAAAAGGCAATTAAAGTCATAAAATCATTATTTTTCTTGTGAGAAATAAGAATTTCAAACCTTAACATAGACTTGTTTGGGCTTGCCTCGAGGGGTGTGGTACAAAGGCAACTCATAGAATCAAGAATGCAATATGTTTTTCATCACATTAGCTACTTGAAGTAATGCAATTAAGGAAAAAAGAGATTTTACATGCTTGAAAATGCTTTATATGTTTGCTTTTATTTATAAGTTTTCTTTTGAATAAGCTTTACATGTTATTTTTATGTATTTTAATTTTAGATAATTGGTTTTTTAAAACATTTATTTTAAAATTTATGTTTATATTTTTTATTAACATAATGTTTAATATTTTTTTGAATTTTTTGCATTTTTTTAAAATTTTTTTGGCATTTTTTTTGAATTATTTAGCTTTTTTGTATGCACCTTTTTTTAAAAAGGCGCGCGCCTCGCACCTCAGGCGCAAATTGGCCCTTGCGCATTTTTTGTGCCTTGTGCTTTTAAAACACGGACTCTTCTCCCACCCTCTTAAATTTCAATGAAATCGAGAAGCAACCTATTAGCTCTTCCAGTGGTCTACTACCTCTTGTCTCCACATTGTCACTATACCCCCTGATGCCCCCCATGGAGGTGAAAAAGACCAGCCTAATCCTCTAGAGCTCCATACACTTCTCACCCACCTTCTATCCCAATCTGCTACTTTTGTTTCCTGGAGCAACACTATGTCTGGATTTTCTTTTCTGATCAAATCTTTTATCACCCTTCTTTTCCTAGCCATACCCAACCCTCTAACATCCCAGCTTATTATCTTCATAGTAACATTTCTAAAACCACCCCTAATCTGTCATCCCTTACTTGGCACCTTTCTGTCTCTCCCCCTGGCATTGAACTCTAAATCTGCAGTCACATCTGATTTTAATCTTTCGACTTCTGTCAACTTCTCCTTTCTTTGACAGTCCTCCTTTTTCCCATTCTTTTTGCCATAAACTTTCACGTTTTCTACCTCTTTAATTTTCAGGCCCAATTCTCTTGCCACTTCATCCATTGGTTTCTTCCCAAATCCTGTCCCTTCATGCTCTTCTTTCTCATTCCTCTGGTTCCCTTCTTGTAATTCCTTATCTTCCTCAAGGTTGGAAAAATCTCTCTACATCAAGGACATACAAGCCAAAGGTGGCTCAAATGTTATCATGGCATGGGCGAAGAACAACAAAGCGGGCTCATGGAAAGACAGGTGTATGATGAGGGAGATCATGATGTTGTCATTGGAGTTAATTTAAGTCGATGATGATAAGTGGTATTTCTGAAATTGGAATTCATAAAAAAAAATTGGAGTTCAATTTTGGTGGGTTCCAAGATCAGCTAATCAACTAGCTGTCGGGTTGGCAAAAACAGGGGCTTTGAAAAATCAAATGTATTGAGGAACTATACCTAACTTTGTAATCAAATTGTTCATGAAAATAATAAAATTCTGTTTGTTACCTATCAACTTGTAGTTGGTTGATTTATTTGATTAGAAAAAGAAGAAAAGCAATATGAATTGAGAAGAGAGGAGACTAACAAGAGTAAAGAGATTGATGGTTTGAAAGAGGACGAAATGTGGGCTACTAGCTGCTGCCTCATTAGCTTTTATATGAGAGTTTTATAAAGATTGTGGAATTACAATACTGTCCCTAGTTCAGTGGCAGTAGTAACAGATTATAAAAAGTGCCCTGCCAGTCTGCTACCATAGATAGCCCAATAAATAAAAATATAGACAAAACAGGCCCAAGCTGGAGTCTATCAACTCAACATGCACAGTTCATTCATTAGGTGATCAACTTGGTTATAGGCATGCATTTATTGATTCACATTGTGTACTGCCTAGGTGATGGGTGATTGAGTGGGCTATATGTGCCTTAATTACTATGATTACCTTTACAGATGTGATTGAACAAATAGTCAACTGTTAGAATATGAGGACATTTTGTCTTCTTCATGAATAATGTTGTTATTGTCTGTAAACTGTTCCAATCAGCGGGTGTTGTTTCTGAGTGGACTTATTGCCTTGCCAATATGAATTACATGTAGTCTATGAATCTTGAGGCATGCTGATGTGAATGCTAATGAGGTGCCTGCTATTGCAACAGTGATTGCTGGTGAAATTGCTAATTTTGCAGCTTATGCATTTGCGCCAGCTATTCTAGTTACTCCTCTTGGTGCACTCAGTGTTATTATCAGGTATGTAGCAAATTTGTGTCATATAGTATCTTTGTTTCTCTGATTTTTGGTTCTAAATAATTATTCTAATTTTCAGTGCTGCACTTGCACATATTATTTTACGGGAGAAACTGCATATTTTTGGAATTCTTGGTTGTGTATTATGTGTTGTGGGATCAACAACAATTGTTCTACATGCTCCTCAAGAACGTGAGATTGAGTCTGTGAAGGAAGTCTGGGATCTTGCTACTGAGCCAGGTATTGGACACAATTTGATATTTATGTGATTTGCCCCATATTTGTGTCTTTCTAATGTTTTTTCGTTTGCTCCAATAAGATGTTTGGCATATTGACCTTATTCTTTTCTTTTTTATGTCTTATGCAGCTTTTCTTTTATATGCTGCCTTGGTGATGACAACAGTTTTTATTCTTATATTCCATTTTATACCAGAGTATGGTCAGACACATATAATGGTCTATATTGGGGTTTGTTCGCTTATAGGCTCTCTATCGGTATGCATTTGGAAATGGTCCTTTTGTTATTGTTTTCTTATACTTTCTGGTTTGAAATTAGTATTTTTTTCTCAGAATTTGTTATTCTCCAACAGGTAATGAGTGTCAAGGCACTGGGAATTGCTTTGAAGTTAACATTCTCGGGAATGAATCAGTTAATATATCCCCAAACATGGGCCTTCACCATAGTTGTAATTTCTTGTGTAATTACTCAGATGAACTACTTAAACAAGGTAGTATTTGTTTTTTGTTTTGTTTTGTTTTGCCTTTCCCTCATTTTTGCTACTTAAACAAGGTATATTTGCTTTCTCATTGATAAGAATGTGTGTTGTGATTTTAATTGCTTATTATGAGATATATGTTTTCCTATTTCAGCAGCCATGGTTGCTTGTGATTTATGATTTCATTTTGTTTTTTTATTAATTTCTTTTTATTGGTGTTTACAAGGAATGCGTGTGGTGTTGGCTTATTTTTGGTTGTTTCATGCATGTTCATTTTATGAATTTTGATTATTAGAGACCAAACACAGATGTTATTATGAATGCTAGTATCCTTTATGGCTGGAGAGTATGGTGCTTTCAAAATTTTTTGGGCTCATACTAGGTCTGATTTTTTTAGATAGTAAATAGAAAGAAATTTTATTGGTTATTCAAAGAAAATAACAAAATCATTTTGAAATGGACAGAGATTTCAACCATGTTAGGTGCATTAAAGAGGAAGATCAAAAAGTCTTGGTAAAATGATGAGAGAAAATTAAAATAAGATGGAAAAACCATTTTGAAAATTTCTTAAATGAACAAGTGTTAAAAATAACATGTACCTTTGTAAAATCAGAACTACTAAACTGAAAGTGGCACTAAACAAGATGAAGGGAAAGGCATTATAACTGATGAGGGGTGATTTGGCCCTTTGCTAACCTAGCGACATGTAGCATTAGTCTTTGCCGCACCTCAGCGCCACACGGATAGACATGTATCTCGCCAAGTCAAGGAGACACACCCCGAAATCAGTTTAGGGCACCTCATACAATGCTCGAGCACCTCGACTGGGCGGCTACCAGCACCTCATCCAGGGCCAACCTGCGGTACCTTGTCGTTACTGGTCCAATGGACCTCGACATGAGAAGCGACCTCCCTCGAGGACTTGTCGACCTATGGTACCTGTCGGTATTGGTCCAAGGGACCTTGGCGTGAGGAGCGACCTCCCTCGAGGACTTGCCGGCCTAACTGAGGTCTAGGTAGCGATCTGCGAGACGTTCTCATCGACTTCCTCTGTGGGCGTCCCACCATTCCTGGGTCTGGAAGCGGCTCCCATACCAAATTTTCTGGAGGAAGGCACAAAAGCCTAGTCTGCATGTGAAACTACCTTTGAGGACTTCGGATCGGCTAGGCATGTCATCCCGGAGATCTCAGACGCAGTGCGTGGAGCTCACGCCAAACAATACCTATATAAAGGTCTCATTTCCAAGTTCAAGAGGTATGCGCAATTTAGCTCTCGCAACTCTCTAACTATTTCGATCTTTAGCTCTCTCGAAAATCTCCAATTCGCTGACTTAAGCATCTGAGTACCCACCCTGGGTAAAGCAGCTCGGGTACACTGATACTGTCCTTTTTTAGGTTGACTTGGAGAACTTGCCAGCTCGACATCCGAGTCACCTTCCAGCAGGGAACTGCCAGATCGCGCATCATCCATTGGCGCCGCTTGTGGGAACCACTACTTAAAAGCCAGGTTCTCAACTTTCATTTCAAATTTGCACATAACGGTAATTAGCTTGGACGAGCCTCGTTAGTTCTGTTCGTGAGGTTGCATCTACAGGTCCATCCCTTCGCGACTAACGTGGGAGTTGGCAGCCAATGGATTGTGCAGTCGCCCTTGCAGGTCGAGCCTTTCAAGGCTCCCGTGCGAGTTGGCGACCTACAGTTGGTAGAGCCACCCCCATAGGTTGGGCTCCTTGTGGCTATCGTAGGTGTAGACGACCATCGTTTCTGAGGGCTGGCACAGTGTAGCCGTGGCACCAACCTATTGTCCAACGCTGACAACAACAGATGTATCGATGATACTATCACAAGGGGGGAAGAATTTGGATGACCAGCCCGAGCAAGCTTTAGCGATTTGGCCCAGATAGTCTCTCAGCCCTAACTGCAAAGCCTCACTGCTGATTGAGCCCTCCATGGCTCCCGTGAGAGTTGGCAGCTGGCTGACTGTGGAGCTGTCCTCACGGGTCGAACCTTACATGGTTCCCTTGAAGATAGGCGACTCGCAAACAGTAGAGCCACCCCCTAAAGGTGAGCCCCACATGGCTCTAGTAGGAGTAGATGGCCGGTAGTTCTAGGAGTAGGTGCAACACATGTGCGGCATTGACCCGCAAATGCAAGCCTGAGAGGGTCACTCTCTCGCGACAAAATAGATGCAGCCGCACTTCGTGCCCAACTCCCAGATGCTTCAAGTGCACCCGCACCACAACATGACTGATAAGCTCGCTGGGTGAGTGTAATTCCGACCTATACACGTCTATTTGAAATTGAATGATAGAAGGTGCATTGAGTAGAAAAGCAACTACAGAATGACCATCCGCTTCGACAACCTGGTCAAGCCGAACTCCATTGGGAAGCTATACCACTTTTAGCTTAAGGCCCCCTCAAGCCCCAACCTTGAAACATGTCGGCAATAGGTAGACTGATCTAAGCAGGTCGACACCCCACTCAAATCGGTCTCAAAGAACGTTGGTATCTCACCGCTGGCCTGATAAAAAAGAGAAATGGAGAAGGGAAGACTTCAAAATTTCCATTCAAGAGGATTTCATACAACCAGTGAAATAGAGAACATGTCGCAATAAACTCAAGTTTCACCGAGCTCGCAGGCTCGGTGTACAAAAATCAGGTCACCTTGGGCCTCATCTTCAAACAAGCTACACTTCGTCGAACTGGCCTCGGCTCGAGTATGGGGGGCAACTGATGAGGGGTGATTTGGCTCTTTGCTGACCTAGTGATACAAGGCAATATTTGCTGCTTGACACCCCAGTGCCACGCGGATAGACGCATATCTCGCCAAGTCAAGGAGACGCACCCCAGAATCAGTCAAGGGAACCTCATACACAGCTTGGACATCTTGGTAGGGCGGCTAGGGGTGGATTCGATCCGAGCCGAGCCAAATAGTTAGATATTTGAGCTCGGCTCGCTAAGGTAGTAAGAGGCTTGAGCTCAATCTCGGCTCGAGTCAAAAGCTCATAAGCTCGAGCTCGTCTTGAGAAAAATGTTTTATAAAAATAAAAAAATTATATAAAAAAATATATTTTATTTGATATTAAAAAATTAAGAATTATAATAATTAGTTATTATTATATATAAAAAATAAAAATATTATATATATAATATTTTTATTATATATATTATTTTCTATAAATTTATATTATTACTACTATTATTATTATTATTATTATATGTATGTATGTATGTAGCTATTTGAGCTCAGCTCATGAGCCTCACGAGCCAAGCTTTATTAAGCTTGAGCTCTGCTCGACCAATAAACGAGCCTGTAAATTGGGCTCGAGCTCGGCTGAAATCGAGCCGAACTGAGCTTTTCATGAGTCAAGCTCGAGTAGCTCGTGAAGAGCTCGGCTCGTGGCCACCCCTAAGGGTGGCTAGCAGCACCTCGTCTAGGGCCGACCTGTGGTACCTCGTCGTTACCGGTCCAAGGGACCTCGGCATGAGCGACCTCCCTCGAGGACTTGCCGACTTGACTGAGGTCTAGGTGGCAACCTACGAGACGTGCTCGCCAACTTCCCCCGTGGGTGTCCCACCATTCCCAAGTCCTCCGGAAGTCAGCTTCCATACTGAATATGCCGGAGGAAGGCACAAAAGCCTAGTTTTCATGTGAAACTACCTTCGAGGACTTCGGACCGGTCAGCCACGTCTTCCTCATTTCCAACTTCAAGAGGTATGCGCAATTTAGGTCTTGCAGCTCTCTAACTCTTTCGCTCTTTAGCTCTCTCCAAAATCTCCAGTTCGCTGACTTAAGCATTGGAGTGCCCACCCTGGGTAAAGCAGCCTGGGCACTCTGACCTTTTCTTGCAGCTCGATTAGGCGACCTCACTAGCCCGACATCCAAGCTGTCCTCTAGCAGGGAGTTGTCAGATCACGCATCATCAATAACCATTGATATTCCAATAGAAATGTGGAAGGGTATGGGAGAAGTAGGCTTATTATGGCTAAGTAAGCTATTTAATAAGATAATGAAAGAAAAATAGATGCCTGATGAATGAAGAAAGAGTATATAGTGGCTATATTTAAGAACAAAGGCAATATACATAGTTGTAATAACCATCAGAGGTTAAACTTATGAGCCACACTATGAAACTTTGGGAGAGAGTAATTGAGCAAAGGTTATGACATGAAATAAGAATAGTAGAGAATGAATTTGAGTTTATGCTAGGGAGATCATGTTAGACAGTTATGCCCTTAGCTCCAATCAGATTGATGTATCTTTCGACATTTATTGTAAATGAATAAAGTACATAATTGATTCATGTCATTGTGGTGTGTTTCTGTGTAATACCCTTAAACTGGACACTTATGAGACTCGTGTTAGTTTAGAATCTTCACAGCCGTTGGATAGATCTGGGGAGATTTATCCTGCCAAGGCTAAAACTGATGTGCTGCTAAGTTGGTTGGGGTGGCTTGTCTCGGCTGCCAGGGTAGACCTGAGGTACATGTAGTGTGGGTTTTCTTGAAACCCTGAACCAGACCAAAATTCTAGTATTGCTCTGGACCTTAGATATAGATGGGCAAAACTGGAATGTTACACCTGACCCCTAGACTCGATTATGATACTGCACTAGGTGTCGGATTGGGCTGTCTTTAATATGCCAATCAGTGAGATCCTTATAGGGGGTCAAAACCTGGGTATGTTGGGACAGTTCGGGAATTCATTTGAGTGGGTGATCATAGTGACAGGATCAGCCCCTTTGTCGGACAAAGTGAATGATCGGGGATTCACTCTCTCTGATGGAAACCTAAATTGCCGGCAGTTGATTTCAACCGTTGAAATTTGTTTTGCAAAATATATTTATATAAAGATATACATATATATTATGGTTTCAAAATGTTTGCAAAAGGTTTTAATTCCCGGGATTCATGTGAGTAGAGTGCAGCACTGCACCTTGCAGCCGAGGGAGAGGTCCTCTCTTGTTGGGAAGTGAATCATTATGGGTTGAGAACCCATGGTGATGGACTCAGGGGTTCACTGTCTCCTGCAGTGAATTCGGCTATGCCTTGTAACAAAGACTTGGCTGAACCCATGTGGCTGATGTGTAGATTAATGTTTGGGTCTCACGCCATACAAGATAGTCAACTGGGCAGCCTTTATGTGTTTCCATTTGGATCACTTTCTTCCATTTCCTTACTATATCATTTGTTGAAATGTATTGATTATCTTTTCTCAAAAAAAAAAAAATATAATGTTGAAATGTCTTTGAAGATATCAACAGCTTTTACCCAGCTTTTACCCAGTGGGCAGATCTGATTTTTATTGTTTCAATTACTTCCTCTCCAGATCTGCTCTTCTCATTGAAAATCCTCTGATTCCTTTCTTCCAAAATGGTCCAAATTATAGCTGCCCTTGTTGCCTTCTACAAGCATTTTGCCCTTTTTTTGTGTTGCTGCAGAAAATTTTTGCTGAATAAGCTAACTACATCTTGTGGGGGGTCCCATCTGCAATCAAAGAGTGAGAAAAAGTAATCCCAAATGCAAGACACAAAAGAGCAAGAAATCAGTAAATGAGGAAGGGYCTCACCACTAGCCAGACAGAGGATACAAACATGAGGAGATAGGCACTTAGTTGGCCTTCTTTTTTGTAGCAAATCAAAGGTATTGGATCTTTCCAAGGAACACTTCCCAACAAAAGGTTTGCACTTTGGGAGGGATTGGCTTAGACCAGGTTTCTTTCACCGGGAAACTTTCTCCCAAAGGGTCCGAATGGGTAAGGATGCTGAAGGAGGCACAAGAGAAGAGACCATCAGGGGAGGGAGACCAAACTCCACTATTCTCGGAATTTTGATCCAAGAAGTCCCTTTCCAAAATTGAGAGCAGAAGAACTAGGGAGTTACATTCGAAGTCCCTCAAACCCCTTCTAAAGCCAAAATCCCAATTTAAACCAAGCCCTGAGAGTAAGCCAAACCTAGCAACAGGTTCAGTCTTGTATTCTGACAAAGCATAGAGTAAAGGGAACTGTTGTTTGAGGGGTGTTTCCCCCAGCCATAGGTCTTCCCAAAAAAGGATTTTATTTCCACAATCCACATTGCAACGGATAAAAGGGAGAAAAGGAGGTACTCAAAGATTGCTTTCCAAGGGGAATTTGAAGCTGCCTGTGGTGCTAGTTTTGCATCCCAGCCATTGTTTGCTACACCATGGATGCTTTCAATGACCTTGTGCCACACCCTTTCTCCTTCTAGGGGATATGATATCTCCATAGCCATTTCCCTAGGAGAGCTTTATTCCTCTTTACCAAATTCCCTAATCCTAGTCCTCCTTGGTCCTTGCCTTTACACACTTGTTTCCACTTTACCAAATAATCTTTCTTTTCATCTCCCGGTTCCCATAAGAAGTCTCATTATTTTTTCCAATTGCCTTGCAATTTTTACTAGAAATTTAAAGGTGGACAGGTATAGGTGGGTAGATTGGCTAAAGTGGATCTAATCAAGGTGATTCTTCCCCCCCTTAGAGATGTAGCTTCTCTTCCACAAGGCTTCCTAGAAAATCTTTCTATTATGGGTTTCCAAAAACTCTCCGCTCTTGGGTTTCCCCCAAAGGCATGCCAAGGTAATCTAGAGGCCAACTCTTTACCTCACATCCTAATACTCTGGCCAACAAACCAATCTCTTCTGCTCCCAAGTTTACTCCTGCCATACAACTCTTTCCCAGTTGACTTTTAAGCTTGAGACTCTCTGAAAATTATCAATTAGAGCCTTCAAATTTCTTAGTTTGGATTCCAAGCAGTCCTTCCAAAAAATAATTATGTCATCTACAAACTGCAAATGGGTTACCACAACCTGATTTCTTCCTACCCTCCAACCAACCTTTAATATGGTATTTTTAGATCTGCCTTTAAAATCAACCTGCTCAAAACCTCAACAACAAGGGTAAGGGAAGATGGGATCTCTTTGTCTTAACCCTCTTTGTTGTGGAAAAATCTTTAGCCACACCATTGATCAGTATTGAGAAGTGAGCCAAACTGATACAACCTTTAATCCACTTTCTCCACCTTCCACCCAACCCAACATTTTGCAGTAAACCCAGAAAAAAGGACCAATCCACCATATCATAGGTTTTTTCCAGGTCTAATTTACAAATTAAGCCTTTCCCTCCTTGTTTCTTCTTTTCTGCCAAACATCATTTGCCACAAGAATCTGGTCAATTATTTGTCTCCCTTCCACAAAGGCTCCCTGGTTTTGGGAGATTGTTGATGATAAAATCCTCTTGAATCTTAGAACCATGGTTTGCAATATTGACAATATTTGGTGAAATATCCCCGATATATCCCCATTTTCTAGGTGGTGATACGAAATCTTCCGAGAATCTCTTTTCTTCCAAATATCCCCAATATTCTGCCACTATGTCAGTGATATTTCAGATTTCAATGATAGACTCTATATTTAAATTTAACAATTTTAGAATATTATTAAAATTTTTTCAATATTTAATTAAAATCACCAATTTTTTTAAACAATATTTTCCTAAAAGAACCGACAAGGAATTAGTAGTTGGATTGGCTTACTATTTATGATTCACTTACTAAGTCATTATAATTCAACAGAAAAACACATAAATTACAAAAGTTAAAATCGAAAGCAATTGACATAAATAAAGAAGAGATGGCTAAAGACCAAAAGGGAGACAAAGAGAAACATATCTATTGCAACCGCTTAATTTCTTCCTATTTGATTTATACAATTCTTTGTTATGTTTTTTTGAGCCTTAAATGTGCAGTTGTATTTCTTCCAATGATCTTGAAGGTTTATTAACTAATTTAAGGTTTTTAGAAAATTATCTTAATTTTTAGATTTTCCAACTATCTTTAGCAAAATTAGCGAAATATCTCCAAAATTTCACCAACTCTACATGGTGAAATGTTCACCAATATCAATATTATGAACCATGGTTGAAACACTTGTAAGAGAGATCAGATTTTACAATTATGATGGGTCTTTACCAAGGTTCAGCAATTAGCCTTTATTTATTTGCATTGACCATAGATAAATTGATTAAGCATATTCAGGAGGTTGTCCCATGTGCATGTTGTTTGTTGATGACGTTGTTTTTATTGATGAACTAATGAAGGATTAAATGCAAAATTAAGTTCATGTTGTTTGTTGAGTTTTCTAATGGTCCTTGATTGTTGAGTATTCTTAAAACAACTAAACTTATCCTTTGTTCTGAGTACTCTGTACTGAGAAAATGTTCAACTTTTGTATTTAATGGCAGGCTCTTGATACATTCAACACAGCAGTTGTATCACCTATTTACTATGTGATGTTTACATCATTAACCATTTTGGCTAGTGTGATCATGTTTAAGGTAATTCTTTCTACTGGTTCATGTGCATCGGCACTTCTTACTACTTGATTTGCTGTTATATTATTACTGTGATTTTCTAAAGACCTAATGCTTTAAATGCTCAAATGGATTAACTGAGTTTACATAGAACATTGCAAAGCATCTAAAGTTTCTTCTGGTGAGCAATAGTTGCCACAGCCACGAAATTGTCTGTTCAAATACCCCATAGAAGCAAAGGCCACCCAACATGATTCTTTGAGCTTACATCCCATTACATAATTGGAAACAAAATTTCAACAAAAAGAAATTCTACCTAAGCCAGAAGAAAGAAAAAGAAATGGAAAAGAACTTATGAGGTGCAAGGACTCAGTTTGGACTGTATCCAGTTATTTAAATTTAATTTGAATGATCTAGGCTTATAATTTACATTTTTGAACATTGGTTATCATATATGATTTACCTTGATTCAGGACTGGGATAGGCAAAATCCAACACAAATTGTGACAGAAATGTGTGGATTTGTAACAATACTTTCTGGCACTTTTCTTCTTCACAAGACGAAGGATATGGCTGAAGGTACATTCTCATGTGACTGGTTCATAAATTCTATAGTACTAACTTTTTTTTTTTTTTTTGTCCCTTCTTTAGTGGATTGGTATAACAAGTTCATCCTTTCACAGGTCTGTCGACATCCTTGTCCTTCCGCCTTGGTAAGTACACCGAAGAGGATGGCTTTGATTCTGAAGGCATTCATCTTAGACGCCAGGAACCCTTGCGAGCACCGTGATGTATTCTTTAAGTCATCTCTCTACATTGCAATTTCAGGGAGGGACCACTCTGCCATCAACCTATATTTCATCGTAGCTTTGCTTGATCAACCCCATCATGTTCTTTTTGACTATAAATAGTAAACCAAGCAGGGCTTTTCTTTTCTGGATCAAAATGAAATGATGCTATTTCACCATTATGCCGTATTCTCGTCCTTTGCTTCTTCCCCCCTTCCCCATCTATAGACATTTGCAAATATAATTTTGAACACATTGGTTATATGATAGTGTATTTTAAATTCAATTTGCTAAGAAATATAGACTTCCTCACATAATTCATGAATTACTTGTCGTTTGTGTAAACAATATTACAATGATTTATATTCTTTTGGAGGAACAGTTCAAAATATAAATGAATACGTATGGAGGAAAGAGATGTACAAAAGGTTGGATTTGTTGGTCTAAGCTTGAGCCCCAAGCCCCCAACAATAATGAAGAAATGATGAGTATTCTGAATCAATTTGACGCGACGATATAGTGGTGTTTTATTGAATTTGAGTAAATGTAAATCCATAGTTATCAGCAGGCACATTCTGGGCCTCTGGCAGCCCTGTGGCTGTTGTAGTGTTGTTATTGCCTCTTTTGAGTGCATGCTATCCAACTTGTGGCAAAATCATGCAATCCGGGCTAGGCTATCACGACTTCACGAGTGAATATTTCAGTGTTCTGTACATATGCGTCCTATATGGTGACAAAACCATTCACCATCTATTTTCTGGTTGTTCGCTGACCAGATGGCTATTTGATTGGTTTAAATTTGACTCCTTTTAATGAAAGCCAATTATCATATTTTACTATTGTAAGCATTTTCATGTGGCAGATATGAAAATCTAGATGTAATTTAATCATGGAAAATCGGGCATTTGAACCTATGACAGTTATCTTCAAGGCCCAATCCCAAGTGGAGKAGATTCGAAGTTCTTTGTTGATTAATGGGGATATTTTTAATACTACCATCTCAAGGTTGGATGACTCCTCCCACTCTTATGTACAAAATCAACTTTGATGGTGTTTTATCGTCTTCAGATGGGGGTTTARGTGTTGTGATCYGTGATCACTCAGGTGTTCATGCAGCCCTTTTGTTTGTTTTAGATTTGGAGCTCTCTTCCATCATTCTCGAGGGAGATTCTAGAATTGTGACTACAAGTCTGTTGGAGTTTGGTTCTCACGCTCCTTGGCGGATTCACATGTTGATCGCAGATTGTAGACTTTTTATTAGAAATTTCTCCCACTGCTCAGTAAATTGGGTTGCTCGTTCTGGTAATGTGGCCACTCATGTTGGAAAAACATGCCCTAACTATTAATGACATGCATTCATGGTCTTTGTGTCCATCTTTTTTACAATCTGCTAGGGCTGTTCATAAGAAGGCCCAACCCGGACCGACCCAACCCGAGTTGGCCGGGTTTTCATAAGCACCGGTCGGTTTCGGGTTGTACAAATTCATAAACTGATGGTTTAGGTCATTTTCGGTTTTCTTGTGTGAAAATCGAAACCGACCCGACCCGAACCGACTTAATTCCTACTTAACTAAGTTGCTTCTATCCTAATTCCTAATTACAACCTAACCTAATCTTCTAGTTCTTACTTAAATAAGTTGTCTCTATCCTAGTTTCTATAGTCTTTTACACCAAATAGGCAACTAATAAGGCAATTACAATTAGAATTAGGTGTCATTTTTTACTTAGATTAGAACTTAGAAAGTTTCTTGAAACATACAAATTTTAGCCTTCTTTCTTGATAACTTTTGTCTTCTATTCTAATTCTAACTTGGTCCGCCCCCCTTAGCCCCTCAACTCAAGCACAATCTCTATTCTCTAATACAATTTGACTCTCAACTCGAATAAAAAATTTAAAATTTCAAGTTCTCAAGTCTCAACTTCAAGACACCATTTGAACTTGGTTCTCCCAATTCCCATCTTCTCAAAGTTCTCATCCTCTCAACTCAAGCTCAAGTCTCATTCTCAAAGTCTCAACTTCAGTCATTCAAAGGTTAGTATTTTTTATTTAATTTTTTTAATTTAATGCATGTTACAAGTTGATATATTTTATTTGTGTTTTGTTTAAGTTTAAGCTTTGAAAAAAAATTCGGTTAATGATGATATATTTGCACAAAAAACTTTAATTTTGTATGAAAAACCTAATCTATTTAAATATATATTTCGGTTTTAATTTAAATATATTTTATATTTAAAACTGTTAAATAAAGATATTTCAGTTTTACATAAAAACTGAAATATTTGAAAAAATCTATATCTAAAAAATATATATTCTGAAATATGTGATATATATTTCCAGAAAATATATATTCCAATGCGTAACCCCAAAAAGATATGGGTAACTCTGAGTGTACGAGAAGTGATTGGACCATATCCAATAAAGTCCGATTCCTCCTCTCTGACACACCGTTTAGTTGTGGTGTAGCAGGAGGAGCTAACTGTGATACTATCCCATTGACCTTCAAGTAGTCCTTGAATTCATCAGAGAGATACTCGCCACCTCGATCTGATCGAAGGGTCTTAATTTCTCTCCCTAACTGTTTCTCGATCTCTTGTCTAAACTCTTTGAACTTTTCAAAGGATTCAGACTTGTGTCTCATTAGGTACACGTAACCATACCGTGAGTAGTCATCGGTAAATGTTATAAAATAAACGTGCTAGTTACGTGTCCTAACACTCATGGGACCACATACATCAGTATGGTCAAGCGTGCCTGTACATCTTTCAGGCTTACCGTTAAATGGCCATTTCGTCATCTTACCCTGAAGGCAAGGTTCATAGGTTGGAAGATCTTCTACAGTTAGAAAATCCAAAGGACCATCCTTTACCAACCTCGTGATATGATCTATGTTAATGTGGCCAAGTCGGTAATGCCACATGCACGTGGGATTAATTGTATCATGGGCTCTTTTCTTGGGGATATCATCCGACGTAATTTCGGTTATGTTAGTTTCCAGAGAAGGATGGAGAACATAGAGACTGTCTCTAGTTCCCCGTATGTGATGAATCTGTTGTTTCTTTTAATAGTAAACATATTACTAAAGAAAATATAATATCCATCCGCACACAGTTTTGAAACAGAAATTAGATTTCTTCTCAAACTCTGTACATAAAGACAATCTTTTAGTACAATAATTCATTCTCTGAAAATTAACTCTACAGTTCCTATAGTTGTAGCTGCAAAACTTGCAGAAATCCCCAAGTAAAGAGTTACTTCTCCGTTACTCAGTCTTATGCTTATCCTGAACCCTTGCAGTGAGTTACACACATGAGTCGAAGCCCCGGAGTCAATACCCCAGGAAGAAGAAGTTACCAACAAATTGGTTTCTATGACAAAGGATTCAAAATTACCTTGTTTCTTGGATTCTAGGTACTGAGGACAGTTCCTCTTCCAATGGCTAGCCTGCTTGCAAAAGTGACAAGCATCCGATGCTTTGTCTTTCCTCTACCTCTTGGACTTAGTAGCTTTCTTTTGAGGCTTTTTCTTAGCCTTCATCTTCTTCTTGCCCGATTTGCCGGCTTCAACAAGCATGGCAATGGGCTCATCCTTCTTAATCAGTTCCTCGGCCCTCTACAACATATTGCTGAGTTCCTGGATGCTAACATTTAGCTTGTTCATGTTATAGTTCATTATGAACTGATTGAAAGGAGGCAAAGAATTTAGGATGGCATCCACTTTCGTGACATGGTCAAGTYCGGATCCAAGAGCCTCGAGTTCATTGATATAACCCATTATCTTAAGACAATGGTCATGAACCTATTGGTTCTTGGACATTTGTGCGGTCATTAAATGCTTCAAGACCTTCTGCCGATTAGAACGATTATGCTCTTCGTACATCGTCCTTAGACTGTCTACGATATCCTTGGACAATTCGATCTGATCGAACTGTCGCTGTATCGGATTGTCTAAGGATGCTATGATGTAGCAGCGGGCTAGGGAAATTTTCTCTTCCCATTCCTTGTAGTCCCTCCTACGGGCCTCAAAAGCCCTATCACCCGGACGTTCCGGGGTAGGACTTTTAGCTACTTTTTCCAGTTTTTCTGATGTCAGGACCAACATAAGGTTTCGGTACCAGTCAGCGTAGTTAAGGCCCTTAAGTTTGTTGTCATCCAACAATTTTGCGAATTGTCCGTTTGCCATTTCTAATAAAAAGCAAATATTAGTCCACAACCTTATTTGATTCATGTTATCTACATAGATATGCTTTTAATCTATGTTCCATTCCCATTTGTTCATCTTTGAGATTTCCCTCCTATCTCAGTGACGGAGACTGCGAATTATATCTCTGAAAATGTGGAAAATCACATAGGGTGCATGGAGCCAACTGTTTCAGCTGCATTACCCCACCACCTTTCTGTAAAGGATCATATCCACTCATCTTATGAGCTTTCCCTTTGGCCTCTGTCAGACAAGGTTCATTGTCATTTTAGGATAATCCTTTCTGTCTAGTGAGTGCTCACCCATCATATTCGTGAACGCCAAGGTATCGTGAGAGTATCTTCCATTTTATGATAGGCCCCTCCCACATCGGTCTATGACACCCCTATCATCTTATGAAACATTCCAACAGATCCAGCAGCAAATGGAGAGCCCAATTTTATGGTGCGTTTCCTCACACTACTGCACTCTCTACTCACATGGATCCCGGGAATTAAAACCTTTTGCAAATATTTTGAAACCATAATATATATATATATATATGTATATCTCTATAAATATATTTTGCAAAACAAATTTCAACGGTTGAAATCGGATGACGGTAGCTTTGGTTTCCATCAGAGAGAGTGCATCCCTGATCATTCACTTTGTCTGACAAAGGGGCGGATCCTGTCACTATGATCACCCACTCAGATGAATTCTCGGACTGTCCCAACATACCCAGGTTTTGACCCACTCTAAGGATCTCACTGATTGGCAAATCAAAGACAGCCCAATCCGACACCTAGTGCAGTATCATAATCGAGTCTAGGGGTCAGGTGGAACATTCCGGTTTTGCCCATCTATATCCAAGGTCCAAGGCAATACTGGAATTCTGGTCCGGTTCAGGGTTTCAAGAAAACCCACACTGCATGTACCTTAGGTTTTACCCTGGCAGCTGAGACAAGCCACCCCAACCAACTTGGCAGCACATCAGTGTCAGCCTTGGCAGGAAAAATCTCCCCAGATCTATCCAACGGTTGTGAAGATTCTAAACTAACACGAGTCTCATATGTGTCCATTTTAAGGGTATTACACAGAAACACACCATAATAATATGAATCAAATATGTACTTTATTCATTTACATTAAATGTCATAATGTATATCAT